TCTCATAACTTTTACGGCTTTAGTTCGGAGTTATTGTTTCTCTATAATCTCACAAAGCTTGAGGTATTATCTATGTCTGGTACTGGTCTCTCATTTACCATACCAAGGAATATATCTTCTTCATTACGACATTTAGATCTTTCATTCAACAATATAACATTTTCCAGCTGCGGAAATTAGAATCACTTATTCTACAGCAAAACAGGGAGCTAGTTGGTTCATTACCAATGGTCAGTTGGAATTGCAATCGTAGTCTACAAGTGTTAGATCTTGGGTTGACGAATATTTCTGGAGAGATACCGAATTCAATTGCCAATCTAAAGTCCTTGAAATATTTTTTGCTTGCTTCGGGTAGTTTTTTTGGAAAGATACCAAATTCAATCGGCAATCTAACACATTTGAAAGTAATGAATTTTTAGGGTAATCAATTGAGCGGTAGTCTTCCACCCACAATCTCAAATTTGAACCAACTAACTGATATATTCCTTTCAAACAACCATTTTGAGGGAGAAATTCCAGACATCTTTTCTAACCTCCAAGAGCTCACCAATTTATATCTCTATCAAAGCAATTTCTCCGGTTGTTTCCCATCTTCAATTGTAAACCTTACCCAACTTGAAGCTTTAGAATTAAGTGGGAATTCACTAACTGGTCCTCTCCCGCTTAGTTTGACCAGACTCCAAAAGCTCCAATTGCTAGGGTTGTCTAGAAACATGCTAAATGGCACTATCCTGGGTTTTCTGCATTCCTTTTTCACCCAATTTGGAACTTAGCCAAAAATCAGTTTACAGGGCATTTTCCTGAGATTTCATTCAATTCATCATTAGCCGGTGTTGATTTATCTAACAATCAACTACATGGGTTGATCCCTCAATCAATTTCAAAACTTGTTCATTTAACATTCCTCAACTTGGCATCCAACAATTCCAGTGGCGAGATACTCATAGAAAATCTTTTGAACATTAAAAATCTTTCAGTGCTTAATCTTCGATCCAACAAATTCAATGGCACTATACCTCCCTGGATTTTTATCTTTCCCTCTTTATTCAACTTAGACCTCAACAGAAATAGATTTACAGGAAAACTTCCTGAGATTTCAAGCAACTCATCATTAATCTTTGTTGATTTATCTAATAATCAACTAGATGGTTTGATCCCTCATTTAGTTTCAAACCTTCTTCATGCAAACTTCCTCAACTTTGCATCCAACAATTTCAGTGGTGAGGTACCCATAGAATTGTTTTTGAACATTAAAGGTCTTGTGGTTCTTAATGTTCAATCCAACCAACTCCAAGGACCTTTAAATAAAGCCATTTGCAACTTGACTATGCTTGAGGTTTTGATATTAAAAAATAACAAGTTCAATGGCAAAATTTCACAATGCTTGGGTGAACATACCCTACTATCTGTGTTGGACTTGGGAATGAACAACTTTAATTTGATTGTTCCCACAATGTTTGCAAAGGGAAACATCATAACAACCATTGCTTTGAATGGGAATCAACTTCGAGGACTTATTCCAAGATCTTTGGCCAATTGCAGAAAACTAGAGGCGATTTGGGGACTAACAAGCTAAGTGACACATTTCCAAAATGGCTTGGAGATCTTCTAGAGTTACAAGTTCTAGTATTGAGATCCAATAGATTGTATGGACCCATAACCTCATCCAATTCTACGATTTGGTTCCCCAAACTGCAAATCATTGATCTCTCTTGCAATATATAGGTTTACAGGAGCCCTCCCAAAATATTTTTTCAATGGCTTTGAAAGTATGGTTAGTGTCATACAGGAAAGCCAAAAAGAAGCAAGTTATTTGGAAATCAGTACCCCTAGCTAGGTGGTTATACGTCATTTCAATCAATTTAACAATGAAAGGTCAAGTAATTCAACTACAAAAGGTTTTGACCATCTTAGCTACGATTGATTTGTCAAGCAACAAACTTGAAGGAGAGATTCCAATGCTCATTGGAAACTTGAAAGCACTAATACTTCTCAACTTATCACATAACTGTCTCAATGGAAGTATTCCACACCAAATAGGGAACTTGAAATCACTTGAATCTTTGGACATCTCTTGGAATCAGCTGGTAGGGAAGATCCCTGAGCAAATTACAAATTTGAAATTTCTTGAGGTGTTAAACTTGTCACAAAATCATTTTGTTGGACGCTTCCTACGGGCTACCAATTAAACACCTTTGGAAATGACTCATATGGGGAAAACCTCAACTTATGTGGATTTCCATTGTCAAGAGAATGCAATGACAACAATAGGTCACATGAACACCAACAACAACATGCTGAGTGGCAAGATAAATTCATGAGTGGATTTACTTGGAGAGTGGTAGTGATTGGGTTTTGTTGTGGAGTGGTATTTGGAATCTTCATGGAAAATATTATGTCTCTGACTGGGAAGCCAAAATGGATGTTTGTGACTTTCTATGGGAATAAGATACGCAAAACCGTCCCAAGACAAAGAAGGAATGTTCGGAGATGCTAATGTTAAAGGGATGAATTTGTTGCTTTTTAATGTGAGGTATGCATTTTTCTTGCTAGCTTGGATTCCCTTTTTACCTATTTTTGTTTTTCGCATTACTTTGGTATTGTTGTATTATTATGGTTATCATTGTACTTGACTTATCACTAATAGAATTTCAAACTTGAGTGTGGCATTGTTAATGACATGTAAAAACTACAATAATAGAAACTATATTTAATGAAATATTTCTTCATATATGATATTATTCAGATAACATAACGTAATATATATGACAATATGTTTCGTTTATTAATAATGCAACATAAATTATATGAAGATATACATGATGTAGAAGTGTGCATATGCTTAGTTTAGAGCTAGTATGATGGGATAGGTAGGTCACTCACTATAAGTGAAAGTGAACTTTTGGTCATCTCTTTAATTTATTGTGGAAAAAATGTTCCTATGGTGATTATAGAAGTCGATGTTGAGAAGTCAATTATTGTATACATTTTAATAATCAGGGAAAAAAATCGTTTAAGTTAACATAAATCAATAATCTATATATCAATAATCTATACATAGAATGTTACTTTCTAGGTATAGAATATATATAAGGGGGTGGGGGAGGGGGGCAATTACCCCACTGAGTGTACCTTAGTATATTAAAAATGTACCTTGTATCAATGATCTGTCCACATTACAAGATAGATTATAGTCCATGCTATAATTTGCCTTTAAATTTAGTAGAAGCTTTAATTTTTGTGCTTTCTATTCTTAATAAATAATTATCTCAAAGACAAAGAGATGTGCAACATAATTCCATACAAAATAGAACAAGTTTAAGATATTTGCTATGTAATTAAAAACTTTGATATTTTCAACACTAATTAGTTAAGATTTCAATATAGTATATAAAATATCTAATTAAAAAATTAACTTACTAAATTTTCTACAAAACAAAAGTTTAAAAATATTAAAAATATATCTATTCACCTTCGACCAAACTTTTATTCATCCAAGATCATCAATACCCTAATACTATTTATTTCAAACTATGTTTAAATTTTCATATTCTAAACTCGTAATAAGATTAATGAGTTTTTCGCACTTTAGGTCCTACAACTATAGTGACACTATCAGGATTGATCCACGACTTTCAAACTTTGATCTCGGTCCACGGTTTTTTTTGTTTTTTTGTTTGTTTTGTTTTTTTGTTTGTTTGTTTGTTTTTTTTTTTTTTTTTTTTTTTTTTTTTTTTTTTTTTTTGCAAAAATGGTCCTTATGACCAATTTTTTTGTAATTTCTCACCTGAGTAAGAACCATTTCCGGCAAAAGCGGGTTTGAAAATTAACAGAAAATGGACCGGAAGGACCATTTTTGCAAAAAAACAATAGTCGTGGACCAAGATTGCAATGTTTGAAAATCGTGGATCAATCTTGATAGTGCCACTACAATCGTAGGACCAAAAGTACGAAAAACTCTAAGATTAATATATACCGTACTTTGAATAATACCTAAAATTTTGACATATCATCTCATACCAAAAGATCATAAATTCGATTATTATTCACCCCTTGTTGAGTTGATCCTATATGATCTTTTTAGTACGATTTACCTTTTAGGTATAATTTGCTGCTTATTACACATGAACATAATTTACTCTGTGCATTGTGGGTTTCTCTCGTCACCCAAACAAAAAAATGGCATATCACAAATCATATTTTAAACTAGGTTAGATTATACAGTACTGTCATTAGCAATGTTCTAACAAATGTTTGAATCCTACTATTTATTTTCAGCCTCGTGCAGTTTTAATAAATGCTGGCAGTCCAAGCTAATGCAGCCATGGAAATTGTTTTTAATTTCAATTTAGAAAGCTTTATGGTTGGTTTAAGGATCCCTATTTTGATATGCATGTACTTATCTTCAGACTCTACATAAAGTTTATCATCTTCCAATTTAATAAAAATAGTTTTTTTTTTTTTTTGTTTTTAAGAAAAGACATATCACAAATTATATTTAAGACTGGATTTGATTGTACAGTACTGTCATTATTATTATTATCAAAGGCATAGTATATACTACTTTAGAGTAGAAAATCCTCTCCTTCTACCTTTGTCTTGTGCTAAACGTCAAGCAAAAGCCCAACTAAATTGGAACCCAGAAAATGTGAACATGTATCCCTCACCTTGTCTCTCTCAAATCCTCGGACTTCACTGCGCAAAAGGTTACTTCTTTCTCTCCAATTCCATATATACATTCCAATGTATTTCCTTGCCTCATTCGTATGCCGCAAAAAAGTTTCTCGCTTTCTTTTCTTGATTACACTGTTTAATACGTTCTAGTCTAGACTTTTTGTGGAGCAAATTAAAGGGTAAGATTTTGTTTTATTTCTTCTTTCTCCGGCCATATCTTCAAGAACAAAAAAAAAAAAAAAAATTGTTTTTCTTCTTTTGGTGAATGGTTGAGGTCTAAAGGAAAGTTATGAAGTGCAGAGATATTGGATCGGTTTCCGGGTGAGTTCAGAAGGGCCATGGCAGAAGGTGAGCAGCTCCATCTTTTTTCCAAAGGTCTAATCTTTTTGTGTTCAGATTGTTGGAGTATTGGACTGACAGTAGAGAAGCAGATATTATTTATGAATGAATTAATTAATAGGGAACTTAGGATGCTATTAAGTGTTAGATTCCGTGGCAGGAGGTGTTACTGTTACTGGTGGGATGGATGTATGAGAGGCCGGTGGATTGCGTGCACTTGGAGAGAAGCCATTTCTACAGGTTATCTTCTCCCTCAAGTGCCCATAGAGTGGCCAATCTCAATTTGATTGCTTTATTTATTATTTTATTTTCTTTTTAAAACTTTCTTAAAACTTTCCTCCGTGGATATGATATTGCTTAATTTTACACTATTATATGTTTTCATATATACTTTGTTTCTCATGGCCTTCTCTCAATGTCCTAAATGTGGTGCTCTCTCGACTCTCGTCATCTTAATTGCAGGGCATATTCTGCAGCTGTAGCAATAACTACCACTGATAGATGTTGTTAGCAAGATTAGAGTGTGGCTATTGAGTTGGAATGAGTAATTAATCTTATCTTCTATATATTTATTTTTTGTATTGCTCGGGGCTACAGTAATTAGCGAGCTGGTGAGCTGTTTATTGTTCATATTCTGATCTGCAGGTTGGAATGAAGAACACGTATAAGCGTTGGTGGCATGGCAATTGGCAAAGGGTTTTGGCCGGGATCATCCATCCTAACATGCATGCTTGGTGTACGTCATTTAATTTTAATTTGTCTCATAATTCTGCCCTGAAAATAGTATTTGTTTCTTTTACTCGTTGCTACTATACATTTCCAAATACTTGTTTCAGGTTATTACTACTTATGCCTCAGTTACAAGTGATGTTTGGAGACGAATGGTACAGGTTTTTGTTAACCCGCCCAAATTTTAACCAAATTACTGTAAGTAAGAGCATTGCCTTATCTACTTTAACTTGGCAAATTAAAGGAATAATACTGCTAAGATAGGAAGATTATATCCCCTGCTCATCTATATGGCCCAGTTAATAGGGTTATTTAAACTGCAAGCTAAGGTTAATTTTTATTTCTCTTCATGTCTACAATTTTCTAGTGATAAATATATTTGTTTTGATCCAATTTTATCTTGTATTACCTAATTAAGTCGATCTTGTTAGGATTACTTAACTGCATAAAACATTCTAAACCTCCAGATAACACATGCTTCACAAGTAGATGGATGGAGATACCATTACGAATGAATGATGTTGTTATCGCTTTGGCTAGTGAATGGGCTCGGGGGGGGGGGGGGGGGGGGCGGGCGGGCAAGGGGAAGGAGGAATTGTTGGGTGGAGGCTTGAAGGGGCAAAGTCTAGCATCCTGCTTTTCGAAAATTAAAATTGTGTCTTTGCTAAAAATGGAAGCGTATTCGTGGATTTTTTGCATACAAAGAGCTGCTCTGAAAATTTCCTATACCTAATCTGATACAATGTATACCTAATCAGAGAGAGAGAGGAATAGATGTTTATTGATTCACTTGACAAATGAAATGCTTGAATACATCCTATTCATAGTAATTAACAAAAACTAACAAAGCATGAATTTAGGAAGTGAAGCTCCCATGATTCCATGTACTGCAAATCCATTTTCATCACGTACTGAGTTGCAATACTCACGCCCTACTACTGCGCACATATCCACGTACCACACACTTCACATTTCATTTTTAATTTTGACTTGGTTTAATTAATAATATTATTATTGAGTAAATATCACCTATGGTCCCTCGAGTTTGGTGGCATCGCCATCAATGGTCCCTAACTTCCGTAATTACCATCCGTCATCCTCCGAGTTGTCAAAAGTTACCTTCTAGCGTCCTTCCGTTACTTCCTCCCGTCTCAGCCGTCAAAATGGAGGGTAATATTGTCATTTGACTTATACGAAAAGAGTTAATACCAGCCAAGGTCCCTCGAGTTTGGTGGTTTGGCCATCTTTAGTCCCAAGTTTCCATATTCCATTATTTTCCTTCTTTCATATTCTCTCCTTCAAATGTATTATTATTACTACTAGTAATTCACCCGCGCGATGCACGGAAAAAAATTATGTTATTATAAATATAAATAAAAATAAAAAAATAAAATATTTTAAATTATTTAATATAATAATATTTTTGAGCTTCCATTGGTCAAGTATTTATTATTTTTATAGAATACAAAATTACAATTAAAATTAAAATTAATATTAAAATTATAATTTTGTATGGTTAATATAATCTCTAATAATTATGTGCATATTCAAATAAACTTATAGAGAGAATTTACATAATTACATTGATTTATTTTTAATTGTATTTCATCTATATTATAATTTTCACAATACGAATAATAACTAAGATAATTACATTTGGAAAGCAAATTTCAAATTTTGTATGTGTAAATTTAAACTCTAATTGAACACATTTTTTTATATGATTATATAATATATAGTTATTTTATTTTTCAAAAGTATATTTTTTTATATTTTTTTGAAACCAAAAATATATTTTTTATATGATTATATAATATATAACTATTTTATTTTTTAAATGTTGTGCTTTTTTTTTTATTTATAATAAAGGATGTTGTGGTATTAATTGTAATATTAATTATTTCCCAAACCATATAGCTTTATTATATAAAGAATTATTTATAGTTATTATTAAATTCTTATTATTATTACTATTATTTAAAGTTATTATTGTTCTTATTAAATTATTATTATTATTAAATTATTATTATTATTATTGTTATTGTTATTATTATATTATTAGCATTAAATTATTATTATTATTATTATTATTATTATTATTATTATTGTTGTTGTTGTTGTTGTTGTTGTTGTTGTTGTTATTATTATTATTATTATTATTATTATTATAATATTCATATTCATATTATTATTATTGTTGTTATTGTTATTATTAAATTATTATTATTATTATTATTATTATTATTTATTGTTATTATTATTTTTTTAAAATTATTATTACTATTATTATTATTGTTATTGTTGTTATTGTTGTTGTTTTTGTTGTTGTAGAAATGTACAAACGCTATTATTATTATTATTATTATTATTATTATTATTATTATTATATTCATATTATTATTGTTATTGTTATTGTTATTAAATTCTTATTATTATTACTATAATTTATTGTTATTATTATTATTATTATTAAATTATTAAATTATTAAATTATTATTATTGTTGTTGTTGTTGTTGTAGAAATGTGCAAATGCTATATAGGATGAGTGTATTTAATAAAATCAGAAAATTAGAGAAATAAAAATCTGGAGGAATGGAAAAATGGAAAACTGAAAAAATGGAGAAGGAAAACTGGAAAAATGGAGAAAGAAAACTGGAGAAATTGAGAAATGAAAACTGGAAATGAAAAAACAGATAAATGAAGTAAACGACCCCTATACATTTGTTAATTTTCTTTAATATTGTATAGGAGAAGAGGTAGTTCGAGTTGGAAGTTGAGAAACCACCAACTTTCTTTAATATTGTTTAGCCAAGTTTGGGACTAAAGATGGCCAAACCACCAATAATAATAATAATAATAATAATTTAATAATAACAATAACAATAACAATAATAATAATAATAATAATAATAATAATAATAATAATAATAATAATAATAATAATAATAATAATAATAATAATAATAATAATAATAAGGGGAAAAAAATTGTAAAAAATGCCCCTCTATAATATGCCAATTATCAATGTCACCCCTGAATTATGAGTGGTGTAAATGTTGCCCCTCAATTATCAAAATGGTGCACATATAACCCCTCCTGTAACGGACATGTGATTCCCCGTTAGTGTACAACACTGTTAAGTCGGAGTAAATATGTAATTTAGTTGTTTTTTTCCCTCCCTCGATTCAAAGTACCAGCGATGGACAGCGGTGGGGAACCACAAATCCGTTACGGGAGGGGCTATTTGTGCACCATTTTGATAATTGAGGGGCAATATTTACACCACTCATAATTCAGGGGTGACATTGATAATTGACATATTATAGAGGGGCATTTTTTTTACAATTTTCCCTAATAATAATAATAATATGAATATGAATATTATAATAATAATAATAGTAACAATAATAATAATAATAATAATAATAATAATAATAATAATAATTTAATGCTAATAATATAATAATAACAATAACAATAATAATAATAATTTAATAATAACAATAATAACTTTAAATAATAGTAATAATAATAAGAATTTAATAATAACTATAAATAATAGTAATAATAATACATTTGAAGAAGAGAATATGACAGAAGGAAAATAATGGAATATGGAAACTTGGGACTAAAGATGACCAAACCACCAAACTCGAGGGACCTTGGCTGGTATTAACTCTTTTCGTATAAGTCAAATGACAATATCACCCTCCATTTTGACGACTGAGACGGGAGGAAGTAACGGAAGGACGCTAGAATGTAACTTTTGACAACTCGGAGGATGGCGGATGATAATTACGGAAGTTAGGGACCATTATGGCGATGTCACCAAACTCGAGGGACCATAGGTGGTATTTACTCTATTATTATTATAACAATTTTCCATGCCCGACTGGTAGAGTAAGAATTAGAAATCATGATATAGATAGAGAATAGAATAAATTTCACTTTTGGTACTTTTACTATTATATATGAATCACATTTGGTCTTTAATTATTAAAATTTTCAAATTAGATACATGACTATATAATTTGTACTACGGCTCTGTTTGGCAACGCTAAGCTAGGAGCTTATAGCTTATTTTAAGCTACTAATAAGCTATAAGCTCTGTTTGGTAATGTTCCCAAAATAAGCTCCTAGCTTAAAATAAGAGCTTATTTTGGAACGCTACTTTAGGTAGCGTTTCAAAATAAGCTACTAGCTTCCTAACTTCTTTTCCATCTTTACCCTTATTATTTTAAAGTAATGACATATTTTAACCTTATGAATTAAAACATTTTCTCTTCCCCTATCCCAACTTTCACGTTAATTCCTTCCTTAGTCTTGTTTCCTGCTAAACAATTATGTTGAAACTTTAGCTTATTATTATTATTATTATTATTATTATTATTATTATTATTATTATTATTATTATTATTATTATTATTATTATTAATGTTATTTTAAAATTAGCAATATGGCTTCAATCTCAAATTGAACAAGAGCCGCCAACTAATGCTCAAGAAGCATTCAATTGTGCACATTCTTCTCTTCGAAGTTGTATTGAGAGGTCATTTGGAGTATTGAATAAGAGATGGAAGATACTTGCTAAAATGCCGCAGTTTAGTGAGGAGACCAAATTGATGTTATTATGGCCACATTTGCACTACATAATTATATTCGAAAGAATTCACAAGATGACATGATGTTTAATGTGCTTGAGTAGCATCCAGATTACATACCGCCCGATAAACTTCAAGATTCAAGTAGTAATATCTCCATCAACGAAAATTTAAGTCACACCTCTATGGAAATGAAGGAGATTCGCGACAATATTGCTACTTCATTATGGGATGGTAGATCATGATCATCCTAATAGTTTTATTTTAAAAAGTGTTTACTTTTTTTGGAAGTCGAAATGTTAAATTTTAATATGTAAACAAACTAATTTAAATTTTATGAAGATGTCCTTTTTAGTCTTTTTACATTTATCAGCTTATCAAAAAGCTAATTTTACCAAACACTTTCAATCATAACAGCTAGCTTAACAGCTCTTCAATTTTCAGCTCCGAGCTTATAGCTTTTCAGCTTTCAGCTCCTTTTCAGCTATCAGCTCCTAGCTTATAGCTTTTCAGCTAGGTTTGCCAAACAGAGCCTACGTATCACATTTGGCTCTACCGTCCAATTTCCCTGCTAACTATTACTGGAATTGCTCCTTCGGAAGAAGAAAATATAGTGCTCCTTCCGAAAGGAGCAGTTCCGACAATAGTTAGTCGAGAAATTGGACGGTAATACTAAATGCGATATAAATTACATAATAATGCACCTACCTCGAAAATTTTAATAGGAGTAAAAGACATTTTTGGTCCTAGACTTATAGTGGCTTGGACAATTTTAGTCCTTTATAAAAAATTTGCCATTTTA